TATTAGGTCTTTAAACGCAAAGCTTCCTGGGAGAGAGCCAGAAGCTTTGCGTTCACATCACTTATTACACAGCATTTCGCAACACAAATAATTATGGGGATAAGTAAATTAAACTGTTTAAAAATCATACCTGTTTGTATCTCAAAATCCAACAGTGTACAAAACAATACCCAGACAGCAACATATCGGCCCAGATCCGGCCCACATTTGGTACACCTGGATCTGGGCCAACATATGTTGCTGTCTGGGTAGTCACAAAATGATAGCAGCTGCATTTGTATGAAACAATAGAGAGCAAGTCCACAATAACGGATGGCATAAATATATAACTGTACACAAAATATTGATTCGACCGAGTTTTAATATTTTATTAGCTCACCAAACGCAAAACTTCCACAAAGATTAACCGTTCCTAGCAGGCGTATAGCACTGCTTACTGGTGGATAGCGCAAACTGACCAATCAGAATCAAGTATTCCACAGAGTCGTGTAATAATAAAGAGTATAATCTATATAATTGAATTTTAATAAGATATAAGTCAACATTTGAACTGCTATCATTAGATATTTGAGTAAAGTGAAACCCAATGCTATGTTTTAAAGTGAACTAAAATATATATATTGTCACTGGCATGCAATTAATTCAAGGGTAGACAAGGCTGCGAAGGTCCACCTTTATTAATCCTTCATTGTCCAGGAAACAAGGGACCCATTTGGAGGCCGTATTTGTTGTTCGCCCGTAGTATGCGATTTTGGATGCAGGCTCTGATTCATAAAGGACATTCACGTGCAAGTAATCGATTTCAAAATCTGCGACCCTTCCCATTCATTAGCCGTATTCAACTAGAATAACAACATGCAGTAAATGGTGAAACAATTTGCACTTTAAACCAGTATTATGGACTATGATACATCAAAATAAAATTATAAACTATATCAAGCAGCATAACGGACTGTTTTTGACAATGGAAGCCTTGCATATTCAAATTGCAATGTTTAATTTTATGTATGCGTTGTTAACCAACTTTGTAATTTAGGGGTTTGGCCACATTTCATGTAGTAGCCTATATTGCACTGACTGATGGGTAAATATCTGTCTTCATATCCTGTTACTTTCGATACACTTGTTCCATATGCCGTTTGCTGTCTTTCAGACTGTGCATAAAAACTCCCTTGGATTTGGAATCTCACTAGACCGAATCAAATCTTGAGGACCACGTCGCAGGGCATTCTCAGGTGATTTGAACGCATAACGTCTACTTGTTTCCTGTATCTCTCAGCTTTTCCTTTGAATGAACTCTCTCTCACATCACATCAAAATACGCAAGACCTGAAAAAGGATCAGAAATGCCAGTCAAGCAGTGTAATTTTCTAGACGCAGAACGAACTGTTGATCTGATTACAAGTGGGATTTTAACAAGTGAAAATAATGAATGTTTTGTTTGTTTGTTCTAACCCCTCTATATGACTGCAGTTCCCCATAGACAAGCAGCCAGTCATCTTCAATGTCCTTTTTTTATGACAGAACATGGAAAATGTCTAAATATGAACTAATATGAAATCTCATGCTATTTAAATTATTCATGAGTTGAGATTCAAACTAACCTGACACACTTCCATTCTCCGAACTCTCTTTAGAGAGAAAGTGGAGTAAATTGGGTTGTTCGATGAGAGAAAAGACAAAGATTTGATATAAAAATTGTCCCTAACTGGTTTGTGACCCAAAAAATCTGTTGCATATCTGTTCTGGTTGGGTAAATGTAACTATATAATTCAGAGTTAGCAAAATTATAACATTGCAAAATAAATCAAGACACTTCTCAGTTCTTTTGCTGTGGATGTCAGAACACTGTAAACAAGCCTTAACCCTTTCGCACTTATATAGGCTACAATCACACCGGTGTGACTAGACTGGTCAGTGCATCACGTGAATTGCTAAATTGAAACGTGCTTTCGTGCGTTGGCTGGCGCTGAACCAGAGACAGACGTGCTCAGTGCTCTCACAACTATTCAGTGTTTTCAACCACATAATGTTTATTTTAGGTTTCATATATTTAAATACACATAAGTACTTGCAAAAAAGTGATTTTTGACTTAGGAAAATACACACTGATGTCTATGGAAGTGGCAACAATAATCCTTTCCATTATAATAAAACGACACGTTTTATTCATATCAGATACACATTGTGTAAGTAGCTTTACATTTGACCCTATTCTTCTTCTCCCAGTTCACCGGCCACTCACTTTCATGTATTACAGCTCACTTTTACATATTTTCAATGGAGGGACATAAAGCTCTCAAACTAAAACTAAAATATCTTAAACTGTGTTTCGAAACGACATGAGGGTGAGTCATTAATGAATCGTTTTTAATTAGTTCACCCAAAAATGAAAACCATACATCTTTAGCCTATTTTTTTTTACAAAAACAGCTTTCCGTAAAGTAAGATACAAAGTAATGGGGCCTTTTATACATTGTCGTGTTTCTTTAGAAATAAATAATGGACAAATTAAGTCTTTGGGCGCATCAGATGTAAAGTTATTCGCTGTCAAAGTGATGCCAAAATGAATGGGAGTCAATGGAAATGCTAACTCAAGTGAAGTTCTGCTACAAGATGGCGGCTCCAGCGAGGCTTCAACTTCCGGCTGATGGATTTACCGGAGGAGGGAGGGTCTAGCTAGTTTCCGTTTTGTTTGACAATACTTTAAACGTCAACAAGAAGCAACATCGCCACCTTTAAAGTCGCGCGGATGGCCGTTACTGGAAGCTAGTTTGGCTGAAAGAAGAAAGTCATATACTAAGTGTACAGCCGTGGCTTTTTAAATTATAGACTCATTTTCATTTGTGGGTGAACTAACCCTTTAAATCACATTAAACTGACATAAAAAATGAGCTGAATCTCGCAACCTATAAACAAGTTGCTTAACTTATTTTGATGAGTTAAATCAAAGTAAAAACATATATTGTCATAACCTTGTTCATATGACTTTTATTTTATTTTATTTTTTACAGTAAAGGCATTCAACTGAGGTGTAATTCATTCTAATTTGAAGCTATGACATCATCAGCCAGTTGTTGTCTATATGTAAAATCTTGGTCCTGAAGAAAGCCATTGGGTAAGCACAATCTCATACCTGTCAAATTTTCTCTGTTCAAAACAGTCTGCAAGATTTAAACCCTTTAAAACATACACTGAATGTTTTATTAAGACTTCTGAATGCATTATTATAGTGCATTATTAAGGCTTTCCAAGAAACAAGCCTAAACGTATTCATTTGAAATGATTTGCAGATGTGTCAATCCAGGTTTAAATGTGTATTTTAGCTCGGGTTTACATCACCACCCAGATCTTTTAATAAATAAACCCCCTGTGTTATGAATACATATTAGAGTGACACTACTGACATTTAGATCCAGTGTGATTATTCAGAGAGGGGATAAAGAGCCAAAGCCCCCCCTCCCACACACACACACACACACACACACAACCGTTAGTTCAGGAAGGAAGAGCCCACCACAACGCAGTCTGCTGCTAATGAGCCAATTATCTCTGCACTGCAACACAGGAAGTCGTGGCCGTAAAAGAGTGACTTTTCTTTTATTCATCATTTTTACAAGAGCTTGTCAGCCAGCTCTCTGACACCGAAAATGTTAGACGGGTATAAGGGCTTCTTAGACAAGCCTAGTTTTTAATGCTTTTATATTACCTCTATACCAACGCATATTAATATTAATGTATTAAACTTCGTGACCTTATAAGTTTTCATGAGTTCACAACCTAAAAGATGGGAAATGCAGTAAAGTTGGGTCATGAATCACTCATATATCGGGGATTATGGCGTTATGACTAATGTTACCCTGCTGTGAGACTGCTCACGTTAGGACTGTCTGACAGTGCCATCTGGTGGATAGCAAATGTTTAAATAAACAAGCTTATATTTATGGGCCAGTGGAGAGCCTGTAAGAATTCATTTTTGTCTTTCACAGTTATAGCCTTCCAATAATTGAGTGGTTCAGTGCCTGTAAAACTGGTAGAGAGATGTATATGCCCCAGAGGGAACATCCAAGAGATACTACTCCCAGATTCTCTACTGCATTTAATTTTGTGATGGCTCACTATAACCTTTACTGTACTATCAATCACATTGGTATAACTGTCTGATATACCAATAGGACATGTCAGTTTCCATAACAGCCAGGCCGAATAACTCTGATGGGCTTATTTTCATTTTTGGGTGAACAATCCCGTTAAAAAAAAAAAACCTTTTGCTGATATTTTTACTCACCCCCCATGTTTTTTGATGAAAACATTCCAGGATTTTTCTCCATATAATGGACTTCACTGAAAACCAAACAGTTCAAGGTCCAAAAGACAGTTTCAGTGCAAACTGCAAAGGGCTTTAAACGATTCCAGACGATGAATAAGGGTCTTTTCCCGAGTCAATTCGTTCGAATCTTTAATTTTGTTCATTCAACGAACGAATCATTTGGTACGAATCGTCTAAAATCGTTTAAAGGCCTTTTGAACAGTTTGCAGTTTGCACTGAAACTGTCTTTTGGACCTTGAACCGTTTGGTTACCAGTAAAGTGCATTATATGGAGACAATTTTCACAACAATCCTGGAATGTTGTCATCAAAAACCTTAATTTATTTTCAACTGAAGAAATAATGGCATGGACATCTTGGATGACATGGGGTGAGTAAATTATCAGCAAAAGTTTTTTTTTTTTTAAAGTGAACTACTCCTTTAAGTAAGTTCAGTGTTGATTAATTTCCGTAGTAAAAAAAATATAATAATTCTATTTATTAATTTAGTTAATATTTAATTAAGCAAATTTTTTTATGCGGTTTATGTTAATATTTTATCAAAAAGAATCATTTCAGAGAACTATTTCAGATATTTCAAAAGAGATTGCTGCTATGCTAACCCTATGGGGCTAAGGTAGGCTACTGAACCACCCAGATATGTGTTTACATCATAGAGGTTTACACACTGATCTAGATCAGTAGGTTTTTACATGAAGGTGAGCAGCAGTGTGTCACTCTGCAGTTGCTTGAATTCGAAAGAGGGCGTGTGCGGGGATCATGACGTCGACGTCAGGCAGATCTCAGCGCGTTCGATTACAGCGAGCTTTTCAAAGTTTCCATGGATCGGGATTTAAAACGTCGATTCCGCGGCCTCTCCGCACTACATAGAACCAGATAAACGGCCGTTTTAGTTAGGCGTGAAACAGAATCGTTCCTACGCAGTGACCTTTTGGAGCTCGAATGCAGAACAGCGCGTAGGAGTCGCTGTGTGCGCGGTGATTGAACGTTTGATTTCTGTCAGTTTTCCTTCACAGCTAAATGGAGTCACGAGTAGAATTCAATCGAGAGGAGATTAACAGTACGGTATGGGAAGTTCCGGAAAAGTACATTTGCTTGAAGCAAATCGGAACTGGAGCGTATGGCAGCGTGTGGTGAGTAAGTTCCTGACAGACAGGTAACGTTCCCCGCACATGAGCTGCATCTCAACAGGTTACCGCATGCACGAAGATTAGAAAGACGCCGTGTGGCAAGCCGCATTAGCATTCATTGCTTTTTCAACGAACTGCTGTTTTGTTAGCATTCATAGTGACTGTTTAAGTTGTTACTAGTCACTATCCTAAGTATTCCATGCTTAATCTTTAGTTACTCATTACTATACAGTTATAAGTAACGTTACTACGACAGTACCTAGTAAAAGCATAGGTTAATAGGGTAACACAACAACAGTAAGTTACTTAATGGATTAACTTCTAGTATCATGTGAATAATCACTTAGGGAATTTAAAAAGATATCTAATCCTGGTACTGTAATTTTGTGCAGAACTTCGTTTAAATCCTAAATCAACTTATATATACATGTGTGGAGTTATATAATACACCTGGCCTGATACGATAACCAGTGTTATGAATGGTAACAGATATGGTAGAACTCTATTTTGTTTAGACTGTTTTTAAATATGTGATTTAAGTGAAATATTTTGACGCTTTTAAATCTCTTTTCTTAACTCTAGTTAGAAATGTTCAACATCCGGCAAATGGGCTGACATGGTACTGATGTCTCTAATGTATTCAGCATTCCTAATTTCGCAGGCCTTTTGCTATGGACATTTATGTTAATCTGTGCTACTCTATTTGCGCATTTACTACGGCAGTCACATTATTGCTAAAGTTAGTCATGATATGATCTATCCCAACAGCATTGATTGACATTTCCTGTTGAGGGTTTGATGCCACAAAACCTTCACGACTGCTGTTTGATCAAACTCTGGTGAAAGTGGGCGACTGTGAAAAACACATGCCCTGACAACTTAGTCTTTACAGCAAAGCAGTGTGTGTGTGTGTGTGTGTCAGAAAACATGCTTAGTGTAGTTTCTTATTTGAATATTGCACTTTCTGTATCAGTTCCTGAATCTTACAGTTGCTTCTTAAAACTGTAACCTCAGTTCATAACGTTTGGGTATGATAGTGATTGTTCTTCCTATCTTAGCTCATCCATCAACAATAAAACCAAAGAGAAGGTGGCCATCAAGAAGCTTCACCGACCCTTTCAGTCAGAGATCTTCGCAAAGAGAGCCTATCGCGAACTAAGGCTACTCAAGCATATGAAACATGAAAACGTAAGTGTTGTCTATGCCTGACATGCCTCGAGGTCAGATCTTGTTGTTTTCATTGTTAGTGCTAGATTTCAGCACAACCAGAAAGAAGTTTCAATGGTTTAAATGGCTTTTGCAAGGCATAAAAGACTTGTATCACACCATACCTATTGTTTTCATTGAGAATGTTGCGAGTATCACTATGTTTAGCTTAGTGGACTGAATGTGTGTATGTATGTCTGTACAGGATACTTGTGGCACCTGGAGACAATGATGATTGATTGCAGTGTCATAAACTGTGTATTATATTAGTATCTAAAAGATACACAGAACACTGAAACCCAGGCAGCCTTATTCAGTCCATCTAACACCATATTAATATCTGGAAAAGATGGTGACTCACTTCTTGCCTTTTTGCTGTCCAATCCAAGGTGATAGGTCTGCTAGACGTTTTTACTCCTGCCTCCAGAATGGAAAACTTCCAAGACTTGTAAGTCTTTAATGAGCCCTGTGTATGTGAAATCTATCCTGAGACGGATTTAAAGAAACAGTTCAGCCATAAAAACTAATTCTGTCTTTATTTACTCAACGTTTATCTCTTTTTTTTTATTTTTATAAAATGACAGTTCATAGTGACTTTAATTTCAGCCTGATCATGATGTAAAAGAGCTGCATGAAGATCCTTTTCTAATGGAGAGAATTACTGCAATGGGTTTGTGACAACATGGCGCTAGGGCTGTCAAATGATTAAAGTTTGTGTTTACATAATATATGTGGGTGCATTGTGTATAATTATATATATATAAATGCACACACACACATGCTTGTATATATTTAAGAAATATTTTCATGTTTATAATGTACATAGATTTATATATAATGTATATTATATATAAATATAAATATTTTATATTTTATATATTTTTTCTTAAATATACTGTATATGCATGTGTGTGTATTTATATATATTACACAAAATAATTATACACTAAACTTTAATTTTGGATGCAATTAATCGCGATTAATCGTTTGACAGCCCTAATAATGACAGAATTTATTTTTTGGGTGAACTGTTCCTTAAATAAAAAGAGAAATAAGCAATTCCTTTCTGTTTTAGCTACCTGGTGATGCCGTACATGTACACAGATCTCTCTAAAGTCAAGGGCCTCCTTACAGAAGACCGGATCCAGTTCCTGGTCTATCAGATGCTGTGCGGACTAAAGGTGAAACCGAAATAACCTCTCACAAAGAAAGGCCACATTTTCCCAACCAGGCATGATGCAACATGTTTCCAATAGTTTCTCCTCACATGGAAAATGAAAAAACAGTTTTGCTTCTTTCATTTTCCTTTTTACAAGAAATACATCACATTATGGAAGTAAAAAATTGTTGCGAATGTAGTTTCCTGTTGAGTAAACGTCTTACAATAGTTAAGTAACTGAGTGTTTGTGAAAAAAGACCAAGTATTTGGCACTTGTAAATCACATCAGGCATTCACTAGGTCAGAAAAGAAACTTATCCACCTGCAAACCCTTTAATTAATGCAAAGCAGTAGTACTGCAGGAAATCAGACATCTTACTCTTAGTTTTGATGCAAACATTCAGCGTATACATAGCCTTTCAAAGTATACTTGATATGATAGTGTGTGTGAACAAAGTGTACTTTGCATGCTTGGTTAGGAAAATTGTTCTGCATGCGCTCAGTGAATTGTATGTATGTGTAAAAACAGAAGTATACTTTGGGTTTAAGATCATTGCCAGAGGAAATGTTATTAGAGTATTTCTGATCAATCCTGTTGTTAGTGTAATCGAATACTAAAACATAACACTGTGAAGAATCTCATAATGCTGATTTCTTTTTTCTCTCTGTCCCTCTGTTTTTCTCCACTCCACAGTACATTCATGGTGCTGGCATCATTCACAGAGTAAGTGAGACTGGCAGTGAATAAACAGCATCTGCTCATAATTATCATTTCCACACAGTGCTGAATTTAAGGCACATGGCATCTCTTGGGAGCATTGTAGCTCTTTGCTGCATGGGGGAGCTTTCATCTCCATGAATTAATTTACTTGCAGCTAATTCGCTAATATATATTGATCAGTGGACTATCAGCCACCATTAACTACGCCTCCTCTAATCTGAGAAGATCCCTCTCAGTTGACGAGCAATAAATATAATTTATATTTGTTAATAACTATTTTACAACAGCTTCAGACATGTCTCATCCAATTAACGTAGTTTAAATAGAATTTATTGCAGTTTTGAGTCTTGTTTTTAACTATGTAATACGAAGCTGTGTTTTTGGTCATTGATAATGAATAAAGAAACAAATAATCCAAATAAAGAAAAGTAAATTGATGTAAAAAAACTTTTTTTGTAAAACATTTTAATTTTAATAAAACATTTAATAGATGTGTCAGATTCACAGAGTGAATATTACCTAATTACCTAAAATATTACCATAGAATATTACCATATTACCTAAAATGTCCAATGTAATATATATATAGCATGTCTCCAGGAAAAAAAAAAAAAATATATATATATATATATATTAAATTTTTTTTTTTATTTTTTTCTGGAGACGTGCTAAATATATATATATATATATATTTTTTTTTTTTTCTTTCTGGAGACGTTCTGACAGTATGCCCTTAGTAGATGCACATTCTTCGTAGATGCACACTCCATGTTGCCATGATTATTTATCTAAACGTTTGTTTTTTGTTTTTTACATGCAAGTTTAGAAATGTACTTTGTGTCTCTAATTCTATTATTATCAGTGAGTTCAAGGCTTTTTGCTTTGGGTGATCTTTCCTATTGTGCATTGTCCTATGAGTTAATGCCAGTGGTTTCCTGTTAAGTAAGGCAGTGCCTGTACAGGCTCAGAACTGTTTGAAGCCGCCCGGCTCACTTTGAATGTGAAAAATACAGCTTGTAGAATTCAGACTAAAGATTTGTTAAGAAACCCTCTATGATCTTTTGGGATTGTTCAAGAACAATGTCTTTGTAGGAAGATTAACACCTTTCTGCATTGCAGGACCTCAAACCAGGAAACCTGGCTGTGAACCAAGACTGTGAGCTGAAGGTCTGTGCCACCATTCTTTTACCATAAAAGAGAAAAGCATAAACCCCCAGTTGACGGTTGACAGTAACACCTTCCTTTCCTCTGGCTACAGATACTGGATTTTGGCCTGGCGCGTCATACAGAAGCAGAGATGACAGGTTATGTCGTGACGCGGTGGTACCGGGCCCCTGAGGTCATTCTGAACTGGATGCACTACACGCAGACAGGCAAGATGTTTGTCATTCTTTAAGATGTATATTGATACTCGAATTATTAACAAGAGTTACTCAGGTGTTTCAGATTAGGAAAAACAATTGTTCATAAAATATGAGGTAAATAATTCATTATTGATTCAGTCATCTGTTATAGTCCAGTTAGTTTCTTGAAAGCTGTCCAATAGCACCTCTATTGGTCTACATGAGCATTTATAGCATTCTCTCATTAGGATTCATAGGTATACAATAGTGGCCAGAAGTGATCTCCAGCCTAGGCAAATTGACATTTACATCCTTTATTCCTAGCATTTGTAAGCATATTGTATAGTTGTGCTGGGAGTCAATTTTTGTTTTTGTTGTTGTTTTGATAATGTTTTGAATAAAAATATCAAAACATTTCCCCATATTTTAATGGTTTAATCAAACTTCTAGGAACAAGTATCCCCTCCAAACTTCACTTTTGGCCACTACTGTAGTTCTGTCACAGAATTATTTTGGATAGACATGCAAAATCAACATATGGACACCTTACAGTTAAATGCATAGAATTTATTTCTAACAAATTTACATATTGTAAATCTTTACCAATCTTTTTTTTAAGATTCATAGAATATGGAATTAATTGACTGGCTTTTTTCTTGTATTTACTATTTACAAAAAATGTTGGGACTGACAGAACTCGATAAACAAGCACCTCCTAATCATTAGTTTTGAATCTCTTTTTCACATGAATATTAATGGGATGACATTAATATTTACTGTGCTAAAATATGAATAGTTATGTTTGCTAATGTAGATATCAGTCTTTAATTGCCAGTTAGTCTGATGTTTTCATTACTAAGATCAATACTATATTGCTGAGTTCAGTATTGATGCATGAATGTATAGTATGTCAAATGGTTTGCATTCTGTTAAGGACTGGTGTAATGATTATTATAGTTCAATATTTGTGATTTTTGCCTTTTTCCTCCTTTCTAGTGGACATCTGGTCTGTTGGGTGCATCATGGGTGAAATGTTCAATGGAAAAACACTCTTTAAAGGAAAAGACTGTATCCTTCAGCATTCTCTTTGCCAATTTTTTTACTAAATGACCACATTCTGGGGGCTAGATTAAAGATATTTTTAAAGGAATAGTTCATCCATAAATTAAGTTCTGACATTATTTACTAGGGGTGTAACGGTACATGTATTCGTATTGAACCGTTTCGGTTCGAGGCTTCCGGTTCGGTACGCATACAAACCGAACGATTGCTTGGACCATTTTTCCTGCCGGCAAAATTCGTGCTGACGCGGCCAACACAACGTTGCGCAACATCAAATGGCAAGCGTAATGAAAGCAGAACGAAACTGCGCTACTCGTTATGTGCTTCACGGATCGTTTATCAGTTCGGACCAGCAACATCTGTGCAGCGCGAGCCGATCTTGATCAAGCAACACTGTTACTACACCGCGCTAAGAGATCCGGTAAAGAAAACATTTGAATTCGCCACTGAGGTAATAACATCGCTGCGAGATCTAGTGAGAAGCATTCACATTTCTCCGTTATTAACCGTAGATCTCAGCGCTGTCATGGAAACCAGGAGAAACATTGTGCCGTGAATGAACTAGTAATACTTTCGTCCACAGACCAGCAACATTCACCATGGATTTAATATAGTAACACTAACTGGAACCAGTTTGGCTGGAATGGTGAAATGCTTTCAAGTACTTCACACATCTTTTTCCAGCACTTCAAAATTCAAATATTATATAAATAAACATATATTTAAATGTTATTTTTAATGTGATGACCAAAACATTATTTGTTCATCCTTCAAAGATGACCCCCATTTATAAACCTGAAAGTTTCAAGATCTAGGAAAACTCACACTTATTTAAAAATATTTTTTCTTTAAACAAATAGGAAATTTCTCTGGCATTTCTTTCTTTTTGGTGTATCGAAAACGTACCGAACCGTGACTTTAAAACCGAGGTACGTACCGAACCGTGATTTTTGTGTACCGTTACACCCCTATTATTTACTCATGTCCTTCCAAACCTACATGTTTTGTTTTTTTGTTTTATATATAAAAGAACAACCATTGTGTAGCTCTTCAAATATTCTACTTTATAGACTATTTTAAAAATAACAGCATACATGTTTGAAATCATTTTCATTTTTGGATGAACTATCCTTTTAACATTCTGTTTCTTAAGTTTCACTGCCATACAGGCACTGTTATTTAGTTAATTGCGATTGCATTTAGAAATGCCACGCAGCTCACTTATACACTTTTGTCTTGCTTGTCAAAAACATAAATAACTTGGAGTTGGAAATGACATGCTGTGCATTGCCTTTGACTTTTGACATTCAGACATGGATCAGTTGACTCAGATAATGAAAGTAACCGGAACACCAGGCCCAGAATTTATTGAGAAACTAGAAAGCCCAGAGGTAAGACATTTCCAATGCAACCAAAGATTGTATATTCAATACGTGGTGTGTCTGGATCTTGATTAAATGTGGGACTAAACTCTGATGCAACTCGGAATGAATTGCTAATGCGATGCGAAATAAGATGGTCTTGAATTTTTTGGGGGATTTTTTCAGTTTGAATCATATTGTGTGACAGTTGCTGTAGCTACTGTGCACAGCTGTCATCCTTGATCTTGATAAATGTCAATATCTCTTCACTGCTGTTAAATAGGCTAAGAGTTATATCAGATCCCTGCCCCACTACCCACGCAAAGATTTCTCTACATTGTTTCCCAGAGCCAGTAAAAAAGGTAAGTTATACCCCAATAAAATTACTCCTTTGTCATGTTGTCACATTTCATGCTTAGCAAGAGACTTTTTTCAGTGTAAAGCTTATGATTTAGCTTGACTATATAGTTACTACCTGTCAATGTGATGCATCATTATTTCTGACAAAAATGACAAGATGCTGGAGCAATTGCAACGGTTAAGCAAGTTTGTACATTTTTACACCATATTCTGAAATATTTCACAGCAGCGGAAACTTCGAGATTAGTTCTATATTGCAACTTGGAATAGGAAATTTCAGCCAAACATTTTTATGACATTATTCAATGTTACGTTTTCTGAAACAAGCTTTGTTAGCTCTGCAGATATTTATAGATTTGGTAACACCTTACAATTAGTTAACATTAGTTAATTCATTGGGTATTATGAACTAATGATGACCATGATGTGTTTTAAAACTTGACTCTAATTTTATACTAATTTTATATTTTAGAACCTTAAAACAAGCTTAATGACTAGCCATAATCAACTGTTGAGTTTCAGAAGTAAAAACTCCATTCAGTTTCTCCATAGGGAAATTTATTTTTATTGATAACTTATTAACCATTAAAGACAGACCTACTGTGAACTGAGGTTGTTAATCTACATTACTACTTCACCCATTATACAGAAAATTCCACCAATCAGTGAGTTGAAACTATCATTCTTTGCTAAAGCCATTAAAGGATTAGTTCACTCCAGAATTAAAATTTCCTGATAATTTACTCACCCCCACGTCATCTGAGATGTCTGTCTTTCTTTCTTCAGTTGAAAAGAAATAAAGGTTTTTGAGGAAATTTGAGGAGGATTTTTCTCCATATAGTGGACTTTAATGGGGTCCAACAGTTTGAAGGTCCAAATAGCAGTTTCAATGCAGCTTCAAAGCCTCTACTATTCCTCTCAGACGAGGAATAAGGGTCTTATCTAGCGAAACCATCTGTCATTTTCTATAAAAAAATAAGTATTTGTATACTTTTTAACCACAAATGCTCATCTTGCACTAGCTCTGCAATTCCCCACGCATTATGTTAGGGTGACCAACAGTCCTGTTTTCCCAGGACATGTCCTGTTTTCCCATCCTGTCCTGGGTGTTTTTTATAAAGTGATGAAAATGTCCTGGTTTTCAAAAAACTGCTGGGAAAGATCAGTTCTACAGCAAAATAGGCGAACAAGAAGAATGTGGAAGAAAAATAAAGATATAAATATATTTTGTTAATTTGTTTTTGTAAGTTTGTGAGAGCTATTTTTGTTCAGTTTGGAGGTATTTCTTTTAGTTATTTATATATTGATTTTTCTAATACAGAAGAGACAGTATTTCTATCATTATTTCATTCATTATTTTTGAAACGTGTCATAAAACGTCTTGAGTAACCTCTGAGTGTCACGGTGCGGGTTCAGGCAGAAGGACAGGCTGAGTCCAAAATCACGAAGAACATAGATTTAATTTCAAAAATACAGGCAGGAGGACAGGATACACAGCGTAACATTAAACATTGACCGACCAGGACAGAATGAAACAGAGGGAACTAAATACAGGCAGGAATCAGACATAATGAGGTGAAGACAGGTGAAACAGATGAACAGGACGCTGAACGGGAGGCTGATGAGGGAGTGAGTTCAGGTGTGCAGACGAGAGGATCATGGGAAGTGTAGTGCTGGAGACGCAGACAGGATGGTGCAGACGAAGGACTGTGACACTGAGAAGCCTGAAACTGAATTTGTATCTTGTTATATAACGTTTTTTATCCATATAATTGTATTGAAATTAATTAGACATCTTTGAGTAAACTTCGAGTATCATTTGAGTATCTGTTTGCTGGGTCGAGTGTCTTGGTTTTTGATAATCAAAATATGGTCACCCTACATTATGTAATCACATTGAAAGACTGTGCAAAGACCAAGTCAAACGCCATTTACAAAAAAAAAAAAAAATTATAAATAACAAGCAAAAACTTTTTCCTACCCTACATTTTTGAACCAGAACACAACATTCATGATTACGTAATGTGTGGCACATCGCAGAGCTAGTGCAAGAAGAGAATTTGTGGTTAAAAAGTATTTATACTTCATATATATTCTTTTTTTTTAAAATGACAGTTCGTTTCACTAGATAAAGACCCTTATTCCTAGGCTGGGATTGTGTAGAGCACTTTGAAACTGCAATTTGGACCTTCAAGCCGTTGTACCCCATTAAAGACCACTATATGGAGAATCCTGCAATATTTTCCTCAAAAAACTTCATGAACATCTATCATTAAAATTTCAATTCTGAAGTTAACTAATCCTTTACGTACCGAGTCTTGTTTTTGTATTTTTGTCCGACTTTCAAATACCTTTATGCTTCAAATCAAAGCTTGTAATGTTATAATTCACCTCGTAGCTGGTTGGCTTGGTTCATGGCTTATAACGCTTTAACAAAGACTTTTTTTGAAATCCCTATGGAAGAAATTAATAGACAAAATACTTCCGGAACACCAAACGGCATTGAAAAAGTGGATGGGCACTAATGCACTCTATTGTCAAACAATAGCTTAGCTTGCCCTGTACTAATACAATAATGCTCACATAATAAAACATGTATCAGCTCTTGCCATTCTAATGCTGTCACTTTGTTTCTGACACATTGTGTCCCACATTGCCATTGCAACTAACCCCAGCGGTAGAGCTGCTTGAGAAGATGCTGGTGCTAGATGCTGACGCTCGTGTCACTGCTGATGGTGCATTGGCTCACAGTTATTTTGATGGCCTGAGGGACCCAGAGGACTGGCCAGAGCCCACGTCATACGATGACAGCTACGACAATGCCACAATGCCCTTAGAAGAGTGGAAACGTGAGCAACAGATTTTACACTGACCGTTATAGCCACTGTACTTTATAAATGCAGCGTGCAAATGTAACGTGACTATTTTTTTCACAGGTTTATCATTTAAAGAAGTCAAGAGCTTTGTTCCTATCCCAAGAAGAGATTCAAAGAGAAGAAACACTCTCACAATGTCCCCGTGTTAGTGGGTCTGACATTAACGCTGTACTGTATTGCATTTACGTGATTTAGTCTTCGCCTTGAAACAATTTAGAATGTTTATTCCTTAAAAAGTATATGAATAGTATTTTGTACAATAAGCAACTTTTTTTGGACAGTGGGATCTGGGCTTCTGGTGAATGAGCATTTTATTTTTATTGACAAATGTGTTAAGGTAAAGTTGTACGATAGCTTTGTGTGGGGTACAAAACAAAATCTTCATTCTGCTAAATGTTCTTATTCTTTCCCCCAAAAAAAAAAAAAAAAAATCTTTTATTTTTTATTTTTAAGTAAACTACCATTTATGTGCTATTAGGTTAAAATGCTATATAAAATGACAGCCATATACAATTTCATGTATTTTAGTGTTATGGGGCTTATTATTAGTATTATAAATTAGTATTATAAAATTTTGGGGTTCGTAAGATTTAAAGAAATTAATACTTTTATTAACATTGATAATAATAATAATAAGAAAATATTCTTGAACAGCAAATCATATTAGAATGATTTCTGAAGGATAATATGACACTGAAAACGGAAGTAGTGATGCTGAAAATTTAGTTTTGCATCACAGGAATAAATTACATTTTAAAATATAATAAATTGTAATATTTCACAATATTACAGTTTTTTGGTCAAATAAATGCATCCTTGGTGAGCATGAAACTTGAAAAAATGTTACTTTAAACTTTTTAATGATAGTGTGTGTGTGTGTGTGTGTGTGTATATATATATATATATATATATATATAAAGAAAATGTTTATATATATATATATATATATATATATATATATATATATATACACACACAGTATATATAGATGCCATGTCTGAAGCTTTCAGACACTGTAACCACTGTTACTGACTTCAGTTAAACACTCAAAGAAAGCTTTAGTATTTTGAAATGTTTACCTACTTAAAGTCAACATGAAATATCAATTACAACCCATTTACTTTGATAATCTGTTATATTTCTGAGTGAAACAGGATATGCTACTAGTAAATTGTTTTCTGGCATTGCCTTATTTTGTAGCCAGATTTTAATCCAGTGGGAATTAAAAATAGTGAAATAGACCCAAGTTAAAGTTGGTTAAAGGGGAGAGATTTAGAAATAAGAGTGGCTGTTAAGTACAGTTATTGCATTTTATTGAAAGATTCCAAAGACGTTTATTATCTGGATTAACATTTCCAATAAATTATTTACATTACGACCAAGAATGTGTATTAACACAGTACGTAGGGTCAGTTCTAATCTCATGTTGACTTTATGGCTTGTTTTTGCTACCTTCAAATCCTTTGAAGGTGCTACAGGATGTTTAGCTTGTGGAAGTGATGACAAATGGCACCATCAAGATATTGAGTAGCACATTGCTGTTAGATATTGAGGTGTTGTTATAAAATGTGGGATCTGACATAAAGCATTGTCGACTTATTTGTCTCTCTCTCTCTTTTTTTTTTTTTTTTTTTTTTTTGTAATCGTTTGTTGTATGTGATAATGCATCCATTAATCAACCGTAGTTGAAATATACCCATGTCCAGCCTCCTGAAAAATTGATCCTCATCTCCTCCTCTCTCATGCAAACTGTGTTTGAACTCGCCTGGGTTATTGGTTATATTTGTTGACATATACTCCCGTTTCGTTAATCTAGTAATATATAGCTCCTCTTTGCCCACTGCCCTAATGTCTGCATCTCTCCAACCAATCGAGCTGTAACGTTATGCTTTTACGGATGACATGTCGTGATGAACTCTAACCATAGCATGAACTGTGTGGGATGCACACTTGCACCTTAGCACACTCAAGTGTCACAAACTTCCAGCCATTATTATGAGTTTAATAAACACTAAACGTTATGCTTTAACAAATTAGTCGTATAGCTGAGATGGCCTGCTTTTCCGAAGGGGCGTGTTCTTACTATCTCGACTGAAAGCTCCGCTCCGTTCTGCCTGTGAGTATCTGGCGAGCTACTAACTATCTACCCAGGCAGCGAGCGACGGTTGAAGTAGTCGAAGCTGAAAATAGCCAGCTAGCTTTGCTGCTCCCGTCTAATCCAACTCAGAGTCGGTCTGAAGTTAAAATGCTGGAAATTAATCCAAATTCATGAGTGCGCAGAAGACGTTTGCTGGAGGAAATCATGGAAGACTGAGAGACGAGGGACATTTTATCGGTGTATTTTTACCGGCTTTTCGGCCAAGCCCCCAGCTTAAACAGCCTTCGCAAAAAGCTTCTGCTTCTCTGCGGAAGTTGTGGTCGGAAAATACGGTAATGTGTCTTTTTTAATTGTGTATTTTATGTGTTTCCATTTCAACTTGTGAACTCAATGTCAACAATCGCTTAGCTGAGCCGGCTGGTTGGTTACCGCACGCGGGGTTACTGTGCTGAATACCCGGGCTAGAGCGGCTAACTAGCTCGCCAGCTTTAGCCTCCTCGGCGTTTCGGTCGTCTCGGAGTAAATCATAAAGCATATTCGTAAATACGCTGTCTCAGGGGAACAGTTTTATGATTTGAGGTGATAACGATGTTGTCATTGTTTATGTTTGTGTAAGGGGTTCTCATGAAACTTAGCTGAATCTGAAGTTCTGTTTGGACTGTAAATATGGCTGACGTTTCGTTCTAGAATCGAGGACGCTCAACCTAACTATTAGCTTGTGTTATACTTTTTCTCGCCGCTGATTGGCTAGATGGAGAGGGTGGACGGCTGTGATTGGTTTTCTAAGTATGTGGGGTTGATAAACTTCGCAGCCTCTGGTGGTCGTCTCACTTCAGTGACAAATTCCCCAAAACTCCACATTAAGTTTTGTAATATCCCTCATAAAGTGTTTGAGGCAGCTGTTATACGGACGTATAACGGCCATGTGACACTGTATTACAATTTTAAAGCGCTTTTAGTGTTTACAGAAAGAGTGCGAACTGCTAGAGGCCTTGAGATCAAAAGTCCCGCCCATTGGACGGCAAAAATAAAAACACACTAAATTGGCGACCAGCCTGAAATTAATCCTTCCAATGAGTTTTAGTAATCGAATCTCGTATGCTGAATTTAACTAGAAATTGATACAGTTGCATACCCATATATTGATTTCATTTTGAAATGTATGGATTTATAAGTATAAATGGCACATGATAGTTGACAGAACTTATAAACATATACAAAGTTCTGTAGATTTTGTATAAACTTTACTGTTTTAAAGAACTTAAATATTTTTTGTTCTGCTGAATACTTGATCACAATGAGTTTTTCGTTTAATTCTTATGTGGTATTGGTAAATCTACTTTGTAGACATTTTTTCAATTCTCTTTATGCATGTTAACATAATACAAATGTTCTTTCACAAAATATAAGGAGCAATGTTTTTATTATTATTATTTGCAAAAGGCCTGGTTCAATTATGCAAAAAAAGTGTGGCAGAGTATAATAATAATATATATTAAGTATTATACTTATTAATAATATTATTGCAGTTCACAATAGCCTTATTTTTAAAATTTATACAAAACACTGCAGTGTAGTTTAATTGGCTTCTTTGCTCTTTTGAATAGTTTGTAACTTTTTTTATCATATTGTTTATTCTAGTTTGTAACAAAATTATTACTTTTTTAATCATTTTTATTAACAATCAAAAATGAAATATTTGCATAAAACAATTAGAAATGTTCTCAAAACGTGTTTGTACAGGATTTTTAAATCGTGCAATTCCTGAAATATGTAAAAATAAAAAAAAAATTATGACAAAACCACAAAAAGGGTCTTCTTATCTATCAATATTATATTTAACAATTACAGTTTTGTTTTAAGTCATGTAAAATGCGGGTTGTGACCACTTCCAGCCGAGGAAATGAGCGCATGCAGTATTTACAGACACACGACTTAGTCGCCCAAGGTGTGTTTTTTTGTAATACATTTTTTTTCTTCTGTTGATGCTTTAGCACGGCAAGACATGGTGTGAAAATTGCACATTGGTATTGTAATGTTTTGTAAGTAATAAATCTAATGTTTATTGTTTTCCTTTTTTCACACAGGTCAAGGTACACGGGGCTGCGTGGTGTGAGTGCCCATGAGAAAACCACGACGGAGGGGAGGCCTGTCCGGGGGCCAAAGTGATGCCGCGGACACGGGTACATCAGGCATGGGGGCATCGCAGCCACGCTCACCCTCTCCCAACCGGCTGAAAGTTTCACCCACCAGAGAAACCCTAACGTACGCCCAGGCACAGAAAATCGTGGAAGTGGACCTAGATGGAAGACTGCATCGGATCAGCATCTTTGACCCCTTGATTGTGATCACTGAAGATGAGATGACTGCTCAGGACATTGCAGAGTGTAACAGCAACAAAGAGAACAGTGAGCAGACACCAGTGACCGCCATCGTCAGCTCGCCGCGCCGATCGGCGGCCCACAGGGGTAAAAAGAAGGATGTGAAGCAGTTATCATCGTCTTCGTCGCAAAACCACTTTTCCAACTCACACGGACAATCTCAGACACAGTCAAATGTGAACAGCCACCATAGTGCTTTACCCAAGCCTACTTTCAGAGAACAAGAGTCTTACGAACCAGTGGAGGCGCCTCCTCGCCCTTCGTCTTATTACCGCTACATTGAGAAGTCCGGTGAAGAGCAGGATACGGATGCGGAGTATGACATGGACGAGGAAGACGTGGCCTGGCTGGAGCTGCTGAACGATAGACGGGCATCAGAAGGCCAGCCACAAGTATCGCCCGACACTTTCGAACTCCTAATAGACCGTCTGGAAAAAGAGTCATTCTTGGAGTCCCGAAGCCAAGCGCCCTCGCAGAGCATCATTGACGAAGACGCCTTCTGTTGCGTCTGTCTCGACGACGAGTGTCTCAACAGTAACGTCATCCTGTTCTGCGACATCTGCAACCTGGCTGTGCACCAGGAGTGTTACGGAGTTCCCTACATCCCAGAGGGCCAATGGCTCTGCCGCTGTTGCTTGCAGTCGCCCTCTCGGCCCGTGGACTGCGTGCTTTGCCCGAACCGGGGCGGAGCATTTAAACAGACCAGTGACGGACGATGGGCGCATGTGGTCTGCGCTATTTGGATCCCGGAGGTGTGTTTTGCCAACACGGTCTTCCTTGAGCCCATTGAGGGCGTGGACAACATTCCACCGGCTAGGTGGAAGCTAACGTGTTACCTGTGCAAGCAGAAAGGTTGTGGAGCATCCATCCAGTGCCACAAGGCCAACTGCTACACGGCCTTCCATGTGACCTGTGCGCAGAGGGCGGGGCTCTTTATGAAAATAGAGCCAATCCGAGAGACTACTGTGAATGGGACTACGTTTTCGGTGAAAAAGACTGCGTTTTGTGATGCGCACTCACCAGCCGCGAAGGACGGGTCAGATGATGATGAAACCGGGGGGAGGGTTTTGGGGTGTAGGGCTAATAGGGGTCGCAGTGCCTACACGCACACGCCACAGCTGAAGAAGCAACGGCGAAGCAATAAACTGGATTCTAAGCAGCAGCAGAAGAAAGGAAAGAAGGAAGAAGTGTCCAAAAAAGTCACAACACCGCTGGTCACTGTCCCGGAAATACCGACTCACAGGTGTGTGTTTATATCATTTTCTTTATTTATCAGACATACAATACATACATGTCTATAATTTGTGTTTAAACATTTTTAAAAATAAGCTTTACATATTTAATACTTATGTAATTATTTTGTTGGTGTTTTTTTTACAGATTGAACAAAATTTTTAAAGATGTGATCATACAGAGGAAGAATCAGTTCATGCAGAGGCTTCACAACTATTGGTTACTTAAGCGCCAGTCCCGCAACGGAGTGCCTCTCATTCGTCGTTTACATTCGCATATGCAGGGTCAGAGGACTGCAGAACAGGTCAGTGTTTAAGCACATTTAAATGTTGTGCATTTTTATTCTGATATAAATCTTGATTTTTAAAATGCTATGCATTATTGATGTCACTTTCCCGCCGGAACAACCCTGCTGTGTGATCTGCTGTGTGACTGGATTTAATAGGGGAAACTGCGAAAATGCGAACAATTATCAATTTAAACTTAATGTTTGACTCAATATAGTGTTCCTTACAACTTACCAAAGATCCAGTGATCCATGAATATTGACATGCAGCCAGGAATCGTGTTGCCTGACATTTATGTTTGCCTGATTTCGACATCGGGGAAATAAAAGCAATATAGACCTAAACATAAAGCAAATTTGCCTGTGAACGCTTTATATAAATACAATATGAATATAGGTAGGTCGAAATCCGGGTGATCACTTATCAGTGTTATATATAGCCTTTATATATCATCATATCTAAAACTTTATTTTCGTTTTGGTCAGTGTTAATTAAAAAACATCCAATAATGCAGAATATGCAATGATACTTGTTTAATTGATGAGTTGTTGATATATATAACAATACAAAATATATGGGTATGGTTTTACAGCTAAATTCAGCATATTGACACAAAATGATAACTGCAAATCCACCTTTTGCTGACTGGACTCCAGTTGTTTCTGTGAATTGCAGCGATCCATTTGCTCCTCTTTCTATAGCAGTCTGTAAAAATATACCTCAGATTTTTTGTCAAATCTAGTTGTACAGTCATTTGCAAAACTCTTTCCCACTTTATATGTGTTGTGTTTGGTTTTTGCGGGATTCACGCTGAAAACAAATACAGCCGCTCAGTCTTTTTGCCACTCACTGTGAGTAACTGCAGGCCGACACTGATGTCACGCGCATACCCTCTATACTATATTATTAATAGCTCTGATTAACTGTGCAGCCCTAGTTGTATCCATAAGCCACACCTCTTAAACACAACTTCAGTATTTTGTGTTTTTGCTTATCTTTGTATCTTATAAACTGCATATAGGCGGAGCCAGATGAAAAGCTGAATGCTGTAAGAGAAGAGCTGAAATACTGGCAGAAGCTCCGTCATGATTTGGAGAGAGCGCGACTTCTGATTGAGCTCATCCGCAAGAGAGAGAAACTAAAGAGAGAGCAGGTAACACACTGACATTTTCTGTATGATTATTAGATCGTATATTACAATGTATGAAGTTACCCTGAATAAACCATAACAACCAGATATGTAAACTCACTTGAGTCATGTTTGTATGGCCTGTGTGCAGTTATGCCTGCACTCATATTTACATTTTTCAGAACTCAAAATGCATGTCTTAGCAGCGCTGAGTCTATTTTTGGCCCACGAGACAAGATGAATTGATTGAAAACACACCATTCAACTCTCAGTGAACGATCATTTGCAAAATAGGCTTTTATGAAGCAACATAAAACGCTGAAGTCAACTATTTAATGAAAAAAGACACGTGTTTAGCTTTGTGCAAGTGGCACAAAGACTTTTTTTTTTTTTGCAGTAAATCTTGCAGAATCCAGACGATTAAGCAGTTAAAGGGTTAGTTCACCCAAAAATGAATTGACTCACCCTCAAGCCATCCTAGGTGTATACCGTTGGATCTAGACTTGGAAACTGGTTATTATAGTTTATAAAGACTCTGATTGTGTTTGGCTGAAAAAAGAAAGTCATATACACCTAGGATAGCTTGAGGGTAAGTAAATTATGGGATACTTTTAATTTTTTGGGTAAACTAACCCTTTTATATCGACAATTTGGTGTAAATATGATGCCTATCTTCATGAAAATTAGGTTCAATCTTGTACTAGTTCTTGATTGGTTTTCGAAAATCATTCTTAGTTGCTCACTCCCATTAACCATTTCATAATTTATATCTGTTATAGAATACTCAATGTGTGTTTGTGTGAACCATCACCATTACGCTGCAGTGTAAAGACTCAGGCTGTTACTTGATTTGCCAAATATTGTAAGCTTGACTAGACTTAGTCATCTCTTTAGCTTTGACTTGGCTGCTTTCAGCCCAGCAAAACCACATGAAAGTGATTAAGAGATTTTTAAAATGAACAGATTTCAGCCACATCCTTTGCATTAATTGTTGGTTGGAAAAGGAAATAATCGACAAGCATTATTACACACATTGACAACTCCATGATTTGCCGCCACTATAATATTATTATAATTTAGGGGAAGGGGGGATGTACACTTTGTAAAGAACATTTTATTTGACAGACAGCTATCAGACATGGAGTAATCTGACTGGTTACAAATTCACGTCTCTCTGACAGGTTTCTATGTCACCTTGACCATATAAAAATTAGCCATGTGTGTGTCTATATAAGCATGTGTTGCTTCTGTAGGTGAAGATTCACCAGGCTGTGACTGAGCATCAGTTAACTCCGGTCCTGGTACTGCTGCGGTCCACTTTAGACCAGCTTCAGGAGAAAGATAATGCAAACATATTTGGACAGCCTGTCAACTTGAAAGAGGTCTGTCTATATTTATATACATTTATACACACTACCATTGATGCTTGGGAGTTTTAATGAGTGCTCATAGTTTACAGTATAAACTGTAATATTGTAAAATATTATTGTTTTCTGTTTTAGTATATTTTAAAATGTAATGTATTCCTGTGATGCAAAGCTGAATTTTCAGCATCATTACTCCAGTCTTCAGTGTCACATGATCCTTCAGAAATCATTCTAATATGTTAATTTGCTGCTCAAGAAACCTTTCTTAGTATTATCAATGTTGAAAACCATTGTACTGCTTTATTTTATTTGTGGAATCGGAGATTAAAAAAAGTAAAAAAGAATACCATTTATTTGAAATGGAAATGTTTTGTTTAATAAATGTTGTTATTAAATTGAAATAATACAACAGCTAATATAATATCTAATATAACAGCTTCCAACTGATGGATCCATTCAAATTTTTAAAATAACAATCTACTCTTATATTAAAATCCTAATATCTTAATTTTCTTGTCTCATATCTCTTTATGGTAACGGAAGCTTCAAGCCTTAAACCGAAACTGTGCTCTTGGCTTCTCAGGTCCCAGATTACCTGGAGTTTATCACGCACCCCATGGACTTCTCCACAATAAAATCCAAATTGGAAGCTCACAAATATCGCTCTGTCACTGACCTGGAGGCTGATTTCAACCTCATGATCTCCAACTGCCTGCTTTACAATGCTAAAGACACTGTGTTTTACCAAGCTGCAATACGTCTGAGGGACCTAGGGGGCGCTATCCTGAGGCACGCTCAGAGACAAGCCCAGAGCACAGGCTTCGACCTGGACTCGGGCATGCACCTGGCAGAATCGCCACACAAAAATGACTACTACCGCTGCACTTTGGAAGATGGTGAGTAGTTCACAAGAAATCATATGAAAAATTTGATTTAAAGTGCATACATTTGGGTGTGATTTCTTGAAGCAACACCTTAGCTGCTGCATAGCAACGACATGGCACTTTTTCTTCTAGTTTGGTCAGAAAAAAACATTTTCTGTAAATAATAATATTATTTAGCTTATACCTTTAAAGCAAACAGCATGATGTTTACCTTTTGTTACTAATGGTTTTGTTTTGTTTGTTTGTTTGTGTGTGTAGTCGACACGCTGCTAGACCCTGATAATCGATTGCACATGACGACGGAAAATCAGTTGAGGGAGCTGCTAGATAAATTAGACGTGGTGACGTCCATGCGCTCGAGCGGCGCACGCACACGCCGTATCCGCCTGCTGCGGCGAGAAATCAACAACGTCCGCTATAGGCGGAACTCGCACATGCTCAATGGAGACCTCAAAGAGGAAGATGAGGAGGAAGATGAAGACAAAGAGATGGATGGTGAACATAACCTGTCTTCGTCGTCGTCAGATAAAGGTGAAACTTGACAAGGGGAATTGAGAAATGGATTTTCTGAATTCGGTTTCTTTCAGGTTATGATTCCAGAATTCTGGTCCTGTTTTTTTTTTTTTTCTTCATAATATTCAGTTCATAAAGAAACAAAGTTCACCCTATTTTCTAAATGCACGTTATTGATCTTATTCTAAATAATTCATCCATGCACATTTAATTTAAAGGGATAGTTCACTTTGAAATTAATTTTTGATATGTTTTAGCTTACCTCAAGGGCATCCAAGATGTAGCTGTCTTTGTTTCCACAGGATTTTCAATTTTGATATTTTTAGGTCGAACCGTTCTTGTCTGTCAGTCATATAATGGAGGTCTATGGTCACCACCTCAAAGAGTGTGCACAGAGAAGTCCAAATTAAACATGATTTAATGACTCATAACTGTAAGTACACATTGATGGCCTAAGACACGAAACGAGTGGTTTGTGTGAGAAGACGAACAGTATTTATATCATTTTTACCTCTTGTAACCACTGCCACAAAGCGCCCGTGCCTTCAGATCACTTGCACGTGACCGTGATTACAAGAGGTAAAAACGATATAAATACCGTTTTCTCACACAAACGGCTCGTTTTGTGTCTTAGGCCATCAGTGTGTACTTACATTTACGAGTCATTAAATCATGTTTAATTTGGACTTCTCTGTGCATGCTCTTTGAGGTGGTGACCATAGACCTCCATTATATGACTGACGGACAAGAACGGTTTGACCTAAAAATATCAAAATTGAAACTACTGCGGAAACAAAGACACCTACATCTTGGATGCCCTCGAGGTAAGCTAAAACATATAAAAATTAATTTCAAAGTGAACTGTCCCTTTAAACAAATTGACCTTGTAATTTTTAATAGAAATGTCATAACTGGATATGCCGGTGAAATTGAATCGACAAACTACTCTTTGGTGAACAAACGTTTTGGTTTGTTCAATCATCTGGCCTGCTTATATATCAACTGAATGGACTGAAAATAATAATAATGATGATTCCTACAAAATATATTAAGCAAAATAAGAAATATTACTATTGTAGGAGTATTTTGGAAAAATGTTTGTTTTTTTAAATTTCTAAAATTTCTTCATTTTCAAAACATTTAACCATTGATCTTCCCCCCCCCCCCACAATGTCAGTCTAATTCCAGATTTTCTTGACGTCTAGCTGTCCCTTTTTTATCTAGATGACTGTAAATCAACCCCGCCACCCATGCTGGAGCCCACAGGCCTGGCTTTATCCCCTCCACCAGGAGACACCCCCCGAGAACCACCGACTCTCCGACCCATGACATCTGTCCCCTGGTCCTTCCCGTGCCCACCCAAGCGCCTCAAACTCAACAGCGAGAGCCAAGAGGCCGATGCAGATGCTGCACCTGTGAACAGCTGCACCAAACCCGAGGTCTTCCCGCCTGAGCACAAACTGATCAATGGCCTGTCCTCCACCGAGGCACTGTCCCGGCCCGCCACGGGAGGGGTCGGGCGGCGAACGTCCGTCCTCTTCAAAAAAGCTAAGAATGGAGCAAAGCTCCAGCGTGAGAAAGACAATCAGATGCAGAATGGAAATAGGGAGGAGGTCGCCGGCACTGACCTAGACCCTGCTCGCACACCAAATTGCACCACCACCATCAAGACTGAAACGTCAGCCCAGCCAAAACCTCCAACACCTCCGCCCATATCAACACCAGCCAAACAGAGAGCAAGAAGTCGCAGCTGTAGTCCAGAGCGTGAGAGAACGCCCCCTCGACTCACTCTAGAGCCCGGTAAAGAAAACAACTGCTTTACATGCTGTGCTAAAACTGATCTTATGACGTTTACTTGCATGGCTGTATGATTTGGGGGAAAATCTTATTGATATTTTTCTGATAAAAATGGCTTCTGTGATTTAATATGCAATCGCAATTGTGTGTTCCGTGTACAATATTAAAATTGTCTGAGTAGTACATTGTATGAATACATAAAACTCAGTCTCAATTTATTTTTCAAATGTTTAACCATCAAGCTTTTGAAATGTACAGCTTTATTTACTTGTGCCAGTTACAGTTGGGGATTGAAGTTATTTTACATGGTTATTTTTATTGAATTTTACATGGTTTCCCCTTAGTCCACTTAGTCAAGCTTTCTTGCACCTTTATGACTGTTATATGTAAATTACCTTACATAATATGTAAATATGCTCATGCTTGCAACATCATAATCATGACAAACTCATTTTATATCTCAGTTTCTATAAATTGGTGAAGGCCTAGAGGGAGATCTGTGGGATCATTTTTATTATTATTATTTTAGAATAACAACTGACAACTGAAATTGTGGCATGGGTAATTCATTTGTATTAATTTAACCTTTTTCTCCATATTTTTTTAGCTCTCACAAATGGATTCAGAAAGCACAAAGATGGCGGCTCTGACTCAGAATGCAGCTCCTCTCCGACTATCAGAGAACTGTAAGAGGAAAAAAAGGACTAAAATCATATAGCTCAGTTAACTCCATTTGTGCAGGTATCCCACTTTTTTTCTTTTGGTTTTAGTGTCACACCCCCTAAAAAGAGCAGAGGGAAACCTGCTTTGTCCAAAGTACCATTCTTAGAAACTGTAAACGGAGACTCTGACTACACTGGGACTGGTAAGAAATGAATCCCAATGAAATGTCAATATATTTGTTTTTGAGTGCACAAGTGGATGTTACATTCCATGTTCTATGTAGATGTGCTGTCGAACGGGGACGCGCCTGAACCTGAACCTCTGGATTTGGTGTGGGCCAAAAGCAGAGGATATCCATCCTATCCTGCTCTGGTAAGAGAGGGCGCTCTACACTCGCATTACATTCAGACTGCATGTTGGTCCATTATTTGGAGTCATGGATATCTGTCAATATCTTTTAAAGGGGACCTGTTATGCAAAATTCATTTTCATGTTGTTTTTGAACATAATTATGTGTCCGCAATGTGTGTACACAGCCACCTTATCGTAGTAAAAATCCATTCACTCCGATTGTTATTTTCCTTGTAAATCTGAAACGGTGTCTTAAAATGAGCTGTTCAGGAATGTACTCCAATGTGTGACGATTGGTGATTGAATCTGCCCAATTAGCTTAGCTCCTCACCTGGACACAGTCCGCCATGTTTATCTCCTCGCTAGAGCATTTAACAGCAGCATTCAAGTAAAAAAAAAACGTGTTCTTAGTAAAAAGGTGTAGTTCACTTTTAAAAAAACTTTTGCTGATAATTTACTCACCCCCATGTCATCCAAGATATCCATGTCTGTTTTTCTCCATATAATGGGCACCAAACGGTTCAAGGTCCAAAAGACACTTTCAGTGCAAACTACAAACTGTTCAAAGGGCTTTAAACGATTCCAGACGATGAATAAGGGTCTTATCAAGCAAAACGATCATTTAAGATAACAAAGTTTAAGTTTTATAAGCACAAATGCTCGCCTTGATTGATTTGATTTATTGGTTTATTTAAAAGGGGACAGTGCAATTTCACAAAACGCATGAACAAACATGGTTAAAAAAGCCAGAATTAGCCAAAAGGCTATTTTTCATCTGTAGTCCCCTGGCCAAGATGTAAAAAAAAAACATTACAATACAAACAAGAAATACATTTATAGGTCTAAAGCAAATTGACTAAAAAATATCTAAATAACACTATAAGATAACATAGGGTACACTATGCCTATTACAATAATAAATACACAAACACATTTACAAAAGACTATATATTAAATATATAATACAGCTCTTGGTTCGGCTTTTAATGTTGGCAGACATAATTGTTAATAAGCCAAATTTTCAAGTTTTTTGTAAAAGCCTTGTAAGTTTTGAGCTGTCTAACCTCCTCAGGTATAGAGTTCCATTCAGCAGCGCCCCTCACTGACCAGGCCGAGCGACTAAAAGCGCTCCTGCGCAGAGGGACGACACAGTCCCCTCTGGCAGAGCCTCGAGTGATGCGCTCAGAGCTGTTTCTTTGGGTGATGAACTCAGCCAGAGGCGCTGGGGCCAAATCATGTGTCACTTTGTATATAAGACTCAAATCAAATAACATTATGAATACTGTCCCAGTTTAAAAGTCTGTGTTTTTTTAAAATTGCACAGTGATGATAGTGCCTTGGTTTTTTGTCCATGATTTTGCTCTGTTCTGTGATACGCGTTCGTGACTATCCTGTTCAAACTCGCTCATCAAAATGAATGAATCTTTTTTCGTGTCATTTGGTTCATTCAGTGAACGAATTGACTCAGATAAGATTCGTTCATTTTGTATGCAATGTGACGCATGATGATCCTCGAATCATCCGTGGAAATCCACCAGTACCACTGGAATTAAAAACATTTTTTCAAGCTTGCCGCTTTGAATCGAGCTACGGCAAGCAGATAGTTTTGAACACTGGCTGGTTATGTATTTTGGATAATTCTTAACCCCCAAAAAGCTACGAACTGCAGCTTTAACTAATTAGCATTTTAACAACTCACAAACCTCTTGCAGTTCTGTAGATGAACAAAAAAAAACAATTCTAAAGTGTTCTATTTTGATTGCTTTTATTATTTATTATACGTGTATTGTTTTTCTTTAATTA